TTTTCTTCACCGTTTAGGGCTTTTGCTTTGTGCATTTGAATACAAGTTCATTCAATTTCATGCATCTCAAAATGACAACAGTGAGTGTTTTTCTCCCTTCGAAGATAGTGCCAAGCGCCACTCATTTACGATGTTTCACAGAGGTTTCTATGGACACCGAACTCGTAAACTCAAAAACCACAGAATTTGTGGTATTCTTCACGTAGTGTTCTGGTGTCATCTTGATTTTTAAAAAGGAGCTAATATTTTGAGGCAAAATAATCGGGAAACTCTCTATCCTTGCGTGAACTGGTCACGGTTAGTGGAGCTCTAGCTGATGCAAGTGGAAGCGAAAGGGATTTGTTTGCGTAGGAATTTTTCCCAATCCTCACGGAATCTAGCAGTGCCGTTTCTGCCCCTATTCCCATTAGGCCCCCTCGGTCACGTAGTCAGCTGGCACACATAAACATTCGCAAGCACAGACGCCATGTGCATATTTAAAGCCACTTTACCAAGAATTTTGTGTGTAATGGGGAAAACGATTTCGCGTTGCTGCTGTCTCCTTCTTTCTCCTCTCTCCATTTTTTTATCTTTCACTCGTCCTTTCCTACCCCGAATCAATTTGGCACAGAACATCCTTACACAAAGTGGAAGGATGTTCTGCTTGCTCCCCAATACCTAATTGCTTGGCGGTCAGAGGGCAAATGGTGGATTTTTTTCTCCAAACGAACGTACGAGATGTAGTTGCGCCTAATGTTACATCTCCCTGTAGGAAGTTAACCCCATTGATTGCGTAACTTTGTCTACGGCGCTCTGGCACGCCTGTATTTCAAGTCACTCACCTCTAAATCCTCAATACGGCACACCAATACAAAATTGTCTATTCTTCGTGAACAAAAGGGTCGATGGGTTGTGGGTCTGCAAATTTTGATTTTTTTCCCCCATGGGTACGGCTTAACTCTATCAGACAACGCGTTAGCTGTAGCCGACTGAGCTGCATCAGAGACTGGACGTTAGTGTTTTCAATTTAGTCCTGTCCAATAAGCTTCTAGCGGTTGCATAAAAGCTGATTTGGCCCCTTGATTAGCTAACGGCTTTGTCTCACGTTGTCCGAGGGCTTATTTGTGGTCTATGAAATACAAGCTGGTCTAAGGGAGCGTGGAGCTTTTTTATCTAATAACCAAAAGTATATTTATCGTAATTTTAGAGGCGCTTAACCCTAATTAAAGTCTTGTAGAGACACGCAAGTCTACTGCGTGTTCACCACTAAGTACTGCAAAACATGTCTCTGGCGTTGGCTAATATGTAAAACGGTCTAGTCGAAATATTTTTGTGTAGTCATAGTTTCTAGAGCAAAGTAATTTATTGTTAGGTTACATGAAAAGCAAAATAGCAGTTCGTGCTTGAAACGCCGTATTTTGATAGCGCTAACTCGAGTTATCCTCAAAAGTTAGGAGGCTGAACTACAGGATACTTAGATGCTTCTTGGCGCTATCCGTGATCATCCTTCCGATTATTTCACCACAAAATGAATTTGAATTGATTGTGAATTATAAGTAGAGGTGATGTTGGAGACCTTCTATCACAGTGAAATGGCAGTGGACTCCGTGGATGCTCTGGGTATCACGTCCTTGACTAAGCGAACCGCGTTGGGACGGGGTGGTGGAGGAGAGAAGAGAAGGCGGTTTCACTTCAGGCACCTGAAGCGTTTCGCATATCCAATCGGTTTTTGTAGAAACATTTGCCTTCAGCACAATTGATTATCATTTATTTAGATTATTTCCAGTTTACCCCTTTGTTGTCATTTTAATACTCCTTGTCAAGTCTTTGGGTCGCGGACATAATTCCAGCGTTATGTAGAAAGATTGAAGCCTGCTGATTTATATGGAACCTGACGTTGCAGCTTCAACCTACTTTGCCATCTACGCTAGATGTCCTCCTTTTCTGGCACATTGAATTTGTGTGCATTTCAGTGAACTCTGGGTTAGTGGTGGTTTTGGGAATGATTTTTTAAGAATACAGGACCTGAAGGTGCTATAATGGACGTACGGAAGGGTTTGATACCGCCGTCGTGGATGGTCTCCTACACGACTGGACTTTGATGGTCACGCAGCAGTGGATCAGTGGGCTACAGTTTATGTGCGACACCTCATCCCCATAACCTTTGCCGTGTTTTATTTTGCTGCATGAAACAGGAAATGGTCACCGTGAGTCTGTAATGTCTGCCTAACTTTTTGGATAACCAATGGTAGCATTTTGAACTAGGTTAATGTAAAATCCGCCAACATTTTTTGCTTGGGGTTTTCAACTCAACCGTCAAAACAGTCAGATATTGCCACTTCGTTGACAATTGCCATCTCCCAGGAGAAATTGTTTACTTTTGTCTACGTTGAAAAGGAATGCATTCAAGACACAGAAATTGTCTAATTGCAACTAGAAACAGAATGAGTTTTGGATTTTAGATTTGCAACTGCTGCACATCTGTTGTTAAAAATCATTTGGTTTCCTATAAGCCTTTCTGAATCTGAATCGTTCTGTCGAGGTGATGGTAAATGTAACGAACAGCTGCAGTAGTTCTCCTCTCCAGTCCTACATGCCCGTGTGCACGCGCACGCGTCTGTCTCTAGTCCGTGGCCTGTCTGCTGTCTCCACCCTCTCTCCTTTCCGCCCCATGCACCCACTGATGACTCACAAAGGGAAAGGGGGTAAAGGCAGGCATAAGCCTGCTCGCCTTTCATCTACTCGTCTTGATAAGAGTAATCCGATTCGTTACCTTCGTCGCAGGTCTTTGGAGTGCCAGTTCGGTGGCGTCGCTTGGCTTGTCGCTTCATCGATCTTCCACTGTCCGCCCCACAGCCGCGGGTGTCGCAGAGACGAACTCCCTTCACGGGCTTCGGCAGCGCTCGCCCTCCGTGTCTTCCAATGACTCAGCCGTAGAATTGATGCCGTGTGCTTTGACAAAGTTGGAGTGGATTCAACATCACCCCAGCGCTAGTCTGTAGGTCCTCTCTGATTTGAATATTATATTGGTGAGGAGCCTTTGGGATTGCAGGCTTATTTGTCAGCTTCTCCTCATTTTAAACCTCTGTTTAGTGTTAGATCATAAATTCTTTTTCTTTTCAAAATATCACCATTTTAAAAATCAGGTTTTGTTATTTGTCAATGGCACTCCAATTGAAGTACAATTAGTTGTTCTTGTCCCATTTTTCGACTGACGATTCCAATATGAGCTTGGCGTTGGATAAAGAAGGTAGGTACTTGTTTGATCTATCCAACCTATCTGTCCTAATGTGGGAACGTCTCAGCTTGAATAGCGTAAAAAAAGAGTAGTCGGATGGGTTCCGTAGTATGACCTTTGCTCCAATAGAATGGAGGCGAACCATTTCAAAAGCTCAAATGAATGTTTTTTGAGCATTCCTCCGTCTCTTTCTGTAAGAGCCTCATAGAATATGGAGCAACCTATCAATCACGACGAGCAGATATCCACCACAAATGGATTCAATGATTAAATAACGTAGTGGACTTTCTGCAAATAAAGCTGGTAGATGTAGGAACGCGAGGTGTACTTGTCGACTCAATGTTAGATGTCAGAATGTAAACATCGGGCTGTGCATTGGATAATCCCTAATGCACGCACACAGAGCAGGAGACAAACTGTGGTGGAATCAGCGAATACAAATGGATACAATATGAAGGCAGCATCGGTGGTGCCAGTGACAACTACAGGGACAGTGTATGTCGGTCTGTCTAGTGGCGCAAAGATGAGTGGATAGTTTGCGTCTCAAAGAGAAGAGACGAAAAAAATTGTCACGTTTTTCATGGGGATTCCTTGGCCGACTACAGGGGGAGGGGGTGGGGGTGTATCGAAAGAGACGTCAAATAGGACGAAGGTGTTGCCAGCATTGTGCTCTCTGGTCTCCTAAGGCATAACTGCGTAGATGACAAAGTATCACTAATGGGCTACATTGTCGACATTGGGACGGGCAGCATTCAAAAATATTCCTGATCTTGCTTTTGCCATAAACCGGGAGCCATCGTCTTCACCTGCGACTTCTATCCACCCAAATTGGCTCCAATAAAGTGTGTTATTCCTTACCGATGTAATAATGAAACTAATTGGGGTGAGGGAATATTACGACTAGCTGTTGACCTCGAAAGAAGTTAATGGGAGTTTTAAAGCACCACTTAGGAGGTAATCAACAAGGTGCCTCAATTTTATTAGGAGTATTAAACTGCAGTCGAAGCGAAGTAGTGCGCCCTGAAATGAGGCAGCAAAGGTGGGCGTTGTGATGGATATATGATCGCATTAGTCACTTAACAGTTGACAGTGGAATTATCCTGCTTGTCTGGTACCATTACATCCTCCGATACCTGCTTTCCCCCCGTCACTATCGCTGTCACTGGCACTGACACTAAGTATAAGGCCTGGTCACATTCACGGGCAGCGTCGCTCAATGACATGAGGGAAACATTAAGCGTGAGAGTGATACCGTAAGTGCAGTCAGCGAGTAGCAATGGAAACCCACATCTGATGACAGTCTTTGCGGTTGATGAGAGGGGAAAAGACGCGACAAGACAGGGAGAAAAACACTCACTGCTGTCATTGTGAGATGCATGAGATTGAATGAACTTGTATTCAAATGCACAAAGCAAAAGCCCTAAACGGTGAAGGAAA